ACTGGCCCTGGATCTGTGGCGCTTCCAGGTCGTCCTTCATCTGGAGATGCAGGAAATGTACGTGGCAAAACTATCCGGGTTTCTGGTCTCCTGGCTATGATACAGAAATGCAGATTTCATTGGAGGTTTTTTGTGTATTTTCCAGAGCAGAGTGGGGGAGGAGGGGCAGTTCCAACGCTTTTTGTTTCTCCATTCAGATGACAGAAGGGATGTTTGCCTCCCATCCCAAAATAATGCAATTTATTAAGGCCGGCTGTCTCCGGGAATGTCATGGATGCCGAAGGCGTGTCTGGGACACCCTCATGAGGAATGTTCCCCCCACCCCCCACAATTGAGAGCTGATCCTGAAGGGTAAGCAGGCTGACACTCTCCCAGCACAGTCTGTCACAAAACAGGCCTCATTCAAGATAACGGCCATGAAATGAATATTCAACGTGGAGTTTTAGCGTTAGCGGTTGTAGCATGGTTTACGTGCGCGGGCAGACGTGCAGCAGGGGCTCTGCGTCTCGTGAGGACGTCACCGCTTGCTTCAGGGATCCCTATGCAGGAGGGGTACCACCAAAACGAAAACATGCACACACGCACGCCTGTGAGCGGACCCACAGCGAGGCCGTCATTCGCTACATGCAGCAGAGGAAAAAACAGATCTTGGTCCTCGTTTTCCTCGGCGCTTCCTGTTTGCTCAGAGCCCCGCCCCCCTGCCACGGCAAGCAACCCTTTCGTCGGACCTGCTCAGTGGCGTTGGCGCGGTGACAGCCACACGCAGCCCAGAGAGATGCACGGTGCAGCCGCTGTGCCACCTCACTGGAGGAGCCGGGAGCCAGAGATTCATGCGTGTAGCCGGCCCAATCACGCTCACATTCACCCCGTGACATTTTTAGTGAATGTTTATTTTCCTATTTGATAACTAATGAATGCATCGCCAGGGAAAAGGGCTCTAAAGTTCATGAAAAATGGGCCTCCTTTCAGCAGCCACCGGGAACCTCCTCCGTGATTAAGATGGGAGATCCCCCGCCCCTTCACCTCCCACCCGCCCTGTGCAGGTGAAAGGCATATCTATGCAAGAGCAAATTAATGTGTTTTTCAAAAGCCAGGCTTTATCAGCCAAGCTCTGCATGGAGCTCGGACACGAGTCGACTGTCAAAGGCACCTCCGTTGGATCAGAGGCAGGAGGGATTTTGGACCTGCAGGTTCGGTCCGGGTGTTGGACCAACCGGCGAGGTCCTGAATATGAGTGACTACCCATCTGTATAACTGGATATAAAGTAAAAGCGTAAAAACAGCATGTTTGCACAGGGGCTCCAAGGGGCCCAGTCGCTTACTCTTCACCTCATATTTGCCCCCCCCTGTTTTATAGCAGCTGTCACACTTGTGCCGCCTGTTGATTCTGCAGGCTGCTGAACACCGAGGTAATGTACGGCCCAGTCCGGAGACACCCCCAGCTACGGCTGGAAATGTTTATCTGGCCGGCCAACAATGGCTGGCAGGCAGCCAGCGGGCCCAGCCGCCAAACAGGCACCCCCCCCTCCATCGGGGTGTTGGCTGGGGGGTAGCACACACATCCTGGCTTTGTGGACTAGGAATCCCAAGAATCTGGACTGCCCCCTCCTGCCCCAACAGCCGAGCCCAAAGCTTAGCCACATGCACCACTAACTGCCATTGCAAGCCTGTAACCACCTCCCTCGCCTGCTGTAGCCTTTGCCTTCACCGATTATCACCATCAACAGCTCTAACCGACACCCCCTGCCGTAGCCAACCACTACCCACATCACACCCACACTCAGTGCGCGGACATGTTACACCACCCCAATACACGCCACGGACGCTCAGTGCGCGGACATGTTACACCACCCCAATACACGCCACGGACGCTCAGTGCGCGGACATGTTACACCACCCCAATACACGCCA